CACAAACCAATGATACGCTCATGGCTGCAAGTACATTAGTGAGGACTGCAACGATGAGATGGAAGTTACGGTTACGGTCGTTGCGTACAGCGTTGCCACTAGTTGTAATAAATATCTAACACTATACAGAAAATGATGAATTTTAACTGATCAGTAATCAGGAAATGTATAAGTATTACTCATTACAAGCTCATTCAATAATACCTTTTAATCGTACTAGTATTGTGTATTATCTATAATTTGCCACAACCTACAACTCTACTGCTTACTATATTTTGATTCTGCTATAAACTGGTAACGTAAAATTTAGATATGACAACGCGCTTTACTCTCAATCATTATTGGTTTTACTATAGACTGTAACTATTTCCTGTCCGATAGTTGTCAAACTGTAGAATAGATGGCGGTAAGCTTCAATGCGGATCGAGAATCTTTTAGTCTCCATTCTCGAAAGTACTAGGCCCTCTCGCTGCCTCATATAAAAGCACGCGCGCCATCCAGCCAGTAATGTCATTCGACAATATTATGGAAACAAGTGAATTTAGTTAGCGACTAGCTAGATAAAGTGCTGCACGTGCGGTGGTGAATACTGTGAGTGGTGTCATTAGTAAGTTTTTAATACTCGGTTCTTTACTTCGGCATTTTTGAAGACAAAATTATGTCGGAAGCAAAAAAAAAGAGATGGCAGTATAGCGCAGAATATATAAAATATGGATTATTCGAAAATCCCACAAATCCATCTTCGCTCATGTGCCTTTTTTGTCAAAAAACATTTTCGAATGAAGCGATGAAACTCTCAAGGCTACAAGATCATTCGAATGAAATGCATTCAGATAAAAAAGACAAAAGTATCACTGATTTTCAAGAACTGGAAAAGAAACAAAGAAACACTCAGCCCAGCCAACTGTGTCAAAACTTTTTTCTGCGGCTTATAATCAAGACGACGACGCACTTTGAGCTTCCTACAATATCTCCTTGCTAATTGCTCAAATAGGTAAACCTCACACTATTGGAGAGGATTTAATTTTACAGGCAATAAAAGAAGTAATAACTACTGCGCTCCAAAAACCAGCGGCAGATATTATTCGGAAAATACCTTTGAGCAATAATTTCGTGCAAAGACGAATTGATGAGACGGCTGAAAACACTGAAGAGTCATTGTGCAATCATCTGAAGACTTCTAAATTCTCAATTCAGTTAGATGACTCCACTTTACCAACCAATGAAGCATTGTTGTTGTCATACGTGAGGTTTATTAAAAATGAGAAAATATATTAAAAAATACTATTTGCCAGAAATTTAGAGGCGGATACAAAAGGAGAAACCATATATAGTGCACTGGAAAAATTTTGTGATGAGAAAGAAATTCCACTGATGAATATTATATCAGCTGCTATAGATGGCGCTCCGGGTATGACAGGACGTCACAAAGGCGTCAATAGCGTACTTAAAAAATAAAATTCCAGATGTGCTAGCTGTGCATATCGTCATTCATAGGCAACATTTTGTTGTGAAAAATTTGAGTGAGCGCCTTCTTCAATCACTGCAATATATCAACAAAGCAGTCAATAAAATCCGAAACAGCTCTTTAAAAATGTATAAATTGATTTGGAATCCCTGAAAAAATTAAAAAAGATTAACCGAAAATAACAATTTTATTTAACAAAAAACTGTAATTACAAAAGAAATAACATACAAGCAACAACCAAAAAATAAAATATAAAAATTAAAAGATTCCAAACCAAGTTATATCACGACGTTTCGATTGTTAATATCCACAATCGTCTTCGGATGATAACTTTTTCATTTTTTCTAATTTTTCAGATATATCAAATTATATTATATTAGACAATGGAAGTCCGAACTGATGAAATACACCACGAAACATTGTCAACCACCTTCAAACAAGCTCTTTGAATGACAGATTATTGAATCAGCTTTGTGTTGCTAATGATGCCGATTTCAACCGATTGCTATTTCTCACAGAAGTGTGTTGGTTACCAAGAGTAACTGTCTGACTCGATTTTACAATCTATTTGACTCTGTAATAGAGTTCTTGAAAAACAAAGACAAAGAATTGCACGACAACCTCATCACTTGCGTACTTGACAGACCTGTATAAATTATTCAATGATGTCAATCTCCAACTTCAAGGTGACGAATTGAATTTGAATAAAACAAAAATGTCATTGTTGCTTTTGTAGCCAAATTGCTCTTATACAAGAATAATATCGGCAGACGTGAGTTACGCAATTTTCCTAATTTGTCAACAACGACGACTTGCTTGTTTACTGCCAACATTTGGGGAACCTACACAGTGATTTCGCAGAACGATTCCAGGACATTTTAAAATTGGAAATACCGGACTGGGTGTTGGATCCTTCTTCAAATGTCAACACAGCAGGATCACCCCAGCTGGAAGAAGAACTCATAGCACTGATGACGAACGAGGAAATGAAAATGAAATTAAAAAATGGATACCAAGAATTTAGGCTACAAAAGCCAATCCCGCTATTGTACCCTGGATTGTGGTCCATCGTTCAACGATTTTTGATAGCATTCCCATCATCGTATTTGTGTGAACGTGGATTTAGTGCTGAGGCAACGTTGCTAACTAAAAAGAGAAATCGGTTGCAGATTACCGATCGCGGTGACTTACGGCTGTTTTTTGAGTAAATTCGAACCTGATATTAACAAACTTGTTAGAAATCATGAAATTCATCCTTTACATTAGATTAGTTTTAAAATTCAAATTGAAATGTTTGTTACAATAACATGAATGAATATATTCCTAATATTACAAAATGGTGTTTTACATTATCCTCATCAGAAAATCTTATTTTCACATGACACATATTTTAATTATTAAAATAATGACTGCGATTGTGATTCTTAAGATGTAATAAAGTAAAAAAAATGGGGGGCGCTAGAAAATAATTAATTCTCGAAGTGGGCGGTAGACAAAACAAGTTTGAGAACCTCTGAATTAGGCGAAACTACATGTGCAAACTGACCTTGAGCAAACAGTAACTAGATAATCATAAAAATGTGTATTCATGACCCCCTCGAAAGTAATAGTAGAAAAAATGACCTGTCAAGTGATGTATCACTCGATCCTCATGTCAGTGAAAAAGTATTGGCGCATTTTTCAAGTTTTCAATCATATATTCATTTTCGTTACCACCCTGTATATTGGAACAGTACCAATTTTGGTGTTTTAGTTATACACACTCACACACATATGTTCACTGAATTCTAAATAAGTAAAAATCACCTGCTAATGAAGAAAAGTATAAAAAAGCCGTATCACTTCTGTTCTTTTCTTCTGATTTGAGTTCTTGATTTTTGGCATCGTTAGTAGCTGGGGTATAAATAACTTCCTTGCAAGCATGACCACTCTTCTCGGATCCCACTTGTTTGTCCATTGATGTAATTCAAAGTTATTTTGTTTCAGAAATCTTGTACGTCAGAGAACGTTGCTAGAGGTTTTATTATTTCGCAGTAAAAAAGAATTCTTAGAAAAATATTTAGTTATGATAAGATTGAATTGAATTAAATAATGGCGATAATTGCAAATCTCTTCAAATTTGAAATGAGTTTTGATGAAATTTAGTAAATCAATATTTGCCAAGTATAAAACACACCGAGTAAAACACTTCCATTACTATACAGTGCTCTTTTAAACTGAACTGTACTCAAACGATTAGATACGAATTGAACAAAGTTTTTTTGTAGACACTAAGCCTTGATCAACCATATGATACAAACGGTGTATACTTGTGAATACTTCTGTATAGAAAAAATTCAAGAAAGATTACTTCTGTGATTTTTTATCCAGAAAAAAAACTTGGCAAGTTCTTAGCATTCGATATATGAACGACAAAGTCTTTCCAGTTTGACAACTGTCTGAAATTATTTTTTTTGGCGAACCGTTCGGGATGCTATCTCTTTGAAAAAAATTGGATTTTTCTGGCCTAGTCCGGCGAGAGTCACATTGTAGTTGTCATTGTAAGTATGAAAATCTCGGTAGGTATGGTTTTGATGAATGCGGTTGATCATTACCATAGCAGCGAAATAACGACTGACAGCTATTCAACATTAGATTAGTTGAAATTTTTGAAAGTTTGCATGGTATCTGTATCTGTAGAGTAGGGAGGGTGAGTGTAAGCCCACAGCACCTAGGCAGCATGTGACCCATTCTACATACTCCCGAGGAGTTGTCCTCCTACACGGAAAAAAAGATTTGTTGAATGAAAGAAAATTCATTTCATTCAAAGAAATAAAAGTGTCATATGCACGACAAAATATTTTGTTGATGCAAGAAAGAATTCTTGACTCCCAACTATTTTTTCAAGCATATCTTCATTGTATCAAACAAATATTTGATTGAAACAATCACATCTATCAGTTATTTCAATTCAAAGAAGAATTGAATTCAAGTAAAATTTTGTCGAATTGATAGCGAGAATTATTTAGAGTAATTCGAATAGTCTATTAAACAAACAAAATTTAAAGATGGGTGAAATAGTGAATCTGATTGAAATAATCAAATGTATTTTCTATTCGAGTAAAAGTTATGTTAAAGAAACATAACATATCTGCAGGATGATGGACAACTTTGCTTGTTTTGATAATGGGAAAATTTTCACTGAAGTAATGATTTTGTTGAACAAATAATGAATAGTAGTTGAACGAACAATGTTTATACCTCATTGTGAGTATCTTGCTGATAGAGTAAAGCATTTTGAAAGTTCAAAATAAGTATGGATGATGATGAACCAAATCCTTTTCTCTTGTTTAAATTTGGTTATTGGATTCAATCAACCAAATATTATACTAATTTGAGTACCAGCATCTCGTTGGTAGTAATGGAGCTTCAGATCGGTTATACTGAAAGTTTTTTGCCAAAAAAATTATCCTATCAAATTTGTCTATTTCTAGTCATGTGTGTCGAAATAACCAATGAAACCATCATTACACTGATAATATCTACTAAAAAACAATTAGAGTCGATTTCGAAACCTTTCACTGAAGTAATGTTCTAAAATGAAAGAGAACAGAAATTAGTGATTGTCTACATTTTCGCAATAATACTATTGGATCAATTTCTACTAACTAGCTTGAATGTTATCTCATAGAAATATGAAAATATAATAATTTTTTTGTACAAATCCAATTTAACAAACGAAGGTATCCTTATTTTTTGATAATAGGAAAAAACAATGACGTACTTCATCACAGTAAAATTTGATTAGAAATATGACTGTGATGACAAAATTCACTTACCTCTCCAATTATAACTTTCAGGCCTTCAAATCTACTAAATTTGAGAATTCTAGCAAAACCTAAGCATTACTTAGGTACAGACCTGAATAATAATAAGTACAGCAAATCACAAAAATATATAGTTATTTTAGAAAACTGAATATGTTTTTAATTGTAATGGCATACATATTTATTAAAAAAGTTATGAATGAAAGACATACCTCTGTTATATATGATTCTTAATTTATTCCATCAATTGCTTCCTTGACTGAATATTTTTATTTTGCCAATTGGGGAAATCATTTCTTTGATTTCTTCATCATTGAGCCTTTTAGCTATGTCTTAGTGGGAGATAAATAATATATGTATTTTTTACCTTTAAAATTACCAATCAGGTCATTTAATCCCAGGCTATCAAGAAATTCCTCCATGTCTAAAAATAAAAGGGAGTATATTTGCATGTTTTGAGTTAGTGCAGTTTTGTTGAATGTCATCATATTTGTAAATATATTGCAAATAACTTTCCTTTTTCGGTCTTACTGATTTTAATAAAGTAATACAAGAGAAAACTGTGATTATTTCACAATTTTCTTCTTAAAAAGAGGTTCCTTCAAGGATTCAGTATATACTATCATGATGAAAATGAAATCATTGTTTTTACGGCGCCATTCAATTATTTATGATGTAAGAAATTTACAATTCTAAATAAAGGTACAGTTCTTCGCTGACATTGTATACCTACACCTATTACTGTGGCAAACACCTTAATTGTATTCACACTGAAAATGTCCAATTCCTCTGTATCCAAAAATCAAAGGTCAAATAGGTACCCAGTGTATGCACATTTACCTACCTCTCAATGATAATCATTTCACTCGACAATTTCTACTTTCTTAAAAACATAATTGAAAACAGTGAATCTTTCCTTCAGTCATTACATTAAACAATAATAACTTCAAGCTGTCGAGAAAAGTCTATGGGCACGTGCTTGAAAAAAACGATGTCCGTTTATCCGATACGTAATTATTTAAAAAAAATGGAATGAAAGAAAATATATAAATATCAACATACCTGTGAAAACACTGAAAAACTTCAATCCACGTATAATCAAAAAGAAACTGAACCTCTTCGTCATTTCCTTGCAAAACACAAACAGACGTACTTTTTATTTGATGAAATTATATTGTTTGACTCAACCGAATTATTCTGAGAACTCAATAAATGTTATTCTTGAAATGATCCACAATTCATTTGACTGAGTAAAATACCTCTTGAATTGAAATGTGAATTTCAATTTGTCTCCGCAAAATTATCATCTAATCAATACAAAACACACGTCGTTTGGAATGAATGATATTTAATCAAAATGATGAAATAAATTAGACTAAATAAATTTCTTTGAAGTAAGAAATCTTTTTTTTTCCGTGTAGGTCATCGTCCATCCTGTCCTTTCCAGGAAGGTGGACAGGTCACTGGGAGACATCTTCTTTATATCGTCAGGTGTAGACCAAAACTCACGGAACACACACTCTCTTATTGACGATAACTCCGGGCACTCGCATAGGACATGCCTGACAGTCTCATCTTCATGTTCACACATCCTGCATAGAGGTGTGTCTACTAGCCTCTATTATGGACGTGTTTCCTTAGTTGACAGTGGCCAGTCAGAAATCCTACTGTTAAGCGTAGATTTTTCCTGGTCATTGTCAGATATTTCTTCCGCGCCAGCTTCCCAGGGTCACCCAAGATGATCCTGGCAAGATTGCATCCTTTGAGTCCATCCCATCTCTTTAGGAATTGAGCATGGGGGTAACTTTTGGCTAGTTTCGAAATTATCGAAGCCACTGGGTCCCAAAATGCTTAGTCCAGCCGCTTCCTTGGCCAAAGAGTCGGCAATGCGATCACCTTTACTCCTGTCGTGCCCTTCAACCCACCTCAGGATAATGTTATTATCTACCAAGGCTTTGACTAGATCTTGGTGACACTCTAGTACTAACCCTGAGGTTACACGTTGTCTGTTTAAGGCTAATAGGGATTGTCTGCTGTCAATGCAGATTGTTATGTTTTGCCAGAAATTCCTTTCCTGGTTATTTCTTTTGTGGCGATTGAGATACCAGCCAGTTCTATTTAGACCACGCTGGTATCTTTTCCCATTCCCCACTTAATCCTTAGGATTAGTGATCTGGAGTACACTCCACATCCTGAGCCTTCTTTGGTTTTTGTTCCGTCTGTATATATGCGTATTGCATTTGTAGCATCTGACTCTGTGTTCAATTTTAGTTTTATTTTGTAGGGTTTATGGAACACAAACCTGAGTCCAATTGCATCCCTGCTCACCTGAGGCAGAGGTTGCGCAGTAAGCGCTTCCCGCCATAGTCCTAGCCTCAATTGACCCATTCCTACTTCGAGGTTTACACCAGCTATGCGCAATCGTAACATGACTATTAACGCAACCTTAAGGTACAGGTCCAGAGGGGTCAGACCAGTAATTAATTCTATTGCCGCGGATGGTGTTGTTCTCATGCCGCCTGTAATGTTGAAACAAGTCAATCGCTGTATTTGATATAATTTTTGGATGACCGTTGCTTGTAGAAGTTTCGGGCCCATGCAATGGCTCCGTTCGTTAACATAGGTCTTATTATTGCAGTGTAGATCCAGGTGACCACACGGGGTGAAAGACCTCATGCGCGTCCCACTGTCTTCCGAAATTGCTCATAAGCCACGTATGCTCTTTTTGCTGTACTATGTAGGTGATAGTTCCATGTTAGCTTCCTATCGAGGATAGTACCAAGGTATTTCACCTCTTCAGAGAAGTTTAGTTTGCTTTTGAAGATTTCGGGAGGTTTTAAGCTCGATAAACTTCTTTTCCTGGTGAAAAGGACCATCTCAAGTTTACATGGTTTCTCTTCGCAATTATCGCAATGAACTATGAAAAACAACAGCGATAGTGAGTTTGAAATGTACCTTGCGAAGTTTCCAATGCAGCAGCTGCTGCTACAGCACAATTTTTGCATGAAAAATCTAAGTCCAAGGTACGAAAACCTTTGTGATTTGTTCTCGGAATGAATGGATCCGAAGTAATGCAAAACTAAGTATTACAGAGGACATATTTCGGTTTCTTCGGCGCAAATATCTGAAACTGTTAAATCCTCTACCTTGTGGATCATGCACTCTATGTTGAAAAACCATTTCAGTGAAGATGAAAGTAAATATATCCACTTTTCTGAAGGTTATCGTATTTATTAAAAAAAAGAATGTTGGTTATAGAGTAAAGAAATCGGAAATCAAATCATCTGAAGGAACAATTCGTTCAGACCAGTCTCAACTCCCTACACTCCATGAACCTAGTTCATGGATTGACACCTATCAGAAAATAATTACTCCCCTGGATAATACCACGAAGGGCGTTGGATTATATATGTCTAGGGAATTGAGACTTGCTTGAACGAATTGTTCTTT